AAAAAAAAAAACAAGTATATACAATAAAAGTTTTTACACTTATTTGTTTGGTCAGAGGACAAATTGCAGGAATCAGTTCTCTCCTTCCACCATGTGGATTTCCCGAATAAACTCAGGTTGTTGTGGGCAAGGGCTGAGGCCTTCCCTCCCTGTTTTAAAAGTTGAGTAATAGGCTACCTCTGCGTTCCCTGCTCCGTTCACATGGTTCGTGGGCATCTGGGTTGTTTCCCAGTTCTGTGTTTTGTGAATGATCTATGAACACGTGCATACATTTCCATTCTGCTTGGACCCCTTTGGAGTGGCTTACGTAGTAACTCCGGGTTTATTGCCCTGCATCTTTTTCTTTCTTTCCTTTATTATTGTGTGTGGAGACCAACCGTGTTCGTAGTCTAGCAGGCAGTGTGATTTTCTGCCACGTGGAAGCTTTGGAATGCAGGAGAGGTCCATATGGGAATCTCATAAGCAAGCAACCGTGCCGGGCCAGTGAGATGGCACATTGGAAAGGTGCGAGCTTAGTTCCAGGAACACGCATGGTAGAGGGGAGGACCAAATGTTCTGTTGTGTTCTGACCTCCGCAGGTGCGAACACACACACACACACACACACACACACACACACACACACAACACACAAATGCAATCAAATGTTAAAAAATGAAAGAAAGGGGAGCTGGAGAGATGGCTCCGTGGTTAAGAGCCCCGGTTGCTCTTGCAGAGGGCCTGGGTTCAATTCTGAGCACCCACATGGCGGCTCACAACTGTCTATAACTCGTCTAAGCTCCGAGGGCTCCTGCATGAGTGAGGTGTACACACACACACACTCAAGCATGCACACATCCACATTTTTTTTTTTTTTTTTTTTTTTTGGCTTTTTTGAGACACGGTCTCCTTACATAGCCCTGGCTGGCTGGACAAACCTTTGCTGGCTGGCTAAGAGGGAAAGGTTGCAGGTTTCTGAAGAAGAAAGAGCCGCCTACTGAAGCTAATTATTCCCCTGGACCAGCAATGGGGAAAGAAAAGCAAGTTCTACAGCCCGGGCTGGCCTTGAACCCATAGAGTGTGTGGCATCACAGGTGACTAAAAGAAAGGCTTTTAGCCAAATAGTGGTGGTGCACGCCTTTAATCTCAACACACGGGAGGCAGAGGCAGGTGGATCTCTGAATTGGAGATCAGCCTGGTCTACAGAGTGAGTTTCAGGACAGCCAGGGCTACACAGAGAAACCCTGTCTTGAGAAAGCAGAACAGAAAAAGAAAAAAGAAAAATGAAACAAAAAAATAAATAAATACTTTTTAAAAACTAAAAGCGTAATTCTTGGTTTTCCTAGAATGGCTTCCACAAGACGGCCCCTTGGCCCTCCCCGGGGTGTTTTTGACTTCAGTGATATGTTCTTGGGGGACTCAAGGATGGAAGAGATAAGGAACATCCGAAGTCTTGGCCAAGTAACGCCCGGGCAGAACAGAATCCTAAAGAGAAACCAAACGATGGATGAGAAGTACTTGATGCCCAAAGAGGAGGCCATGCCAGGGAAGGGGTCAAGGTTGGGCTTGAGGCCCCCCACCGTCTCCTCCAAGACCAGAGCCAATGAGGCCCTGAGGAAGCTGGCCCAGATCGAAACCAAGATCCAGAGTCGGAAGCAGGCGCCTGCGGCTTTGTCTGATACGGAGTCTGACTCGACGAAGGCCAGCGAGAGGCGTCTCCCGAAGGACACAGATTCAGCGTCTGATCTTTCTTCTCAGCATCCACACAGAACTTTCCAGAAACAAGCCTGTAAACCGTCCCCAGCAAAGAGCGATGGGCAAAGTGGGAAAGGTAGCAGGTTTCTGAAGAAGAAGAAGGAGCCGCCCACTGAGGCTAGGTCCCCGGTACCCGCAGTAGAGACAGGGAAGCGCGTCCCACCACCCAGACAGAGAGAACCTGCTGGAAAACTCGATGCTCCCGACAGTGACGAAGAGGAAATGAAAGTGTTGCTCGCAAGCCTGATGGACTCTTCTAGAGAGAAAGAAACACACAGGAACCGGCAGTTCACTAGCACCAAAGTCAGCAGGAGCGATCATGGAAAACTGTCTTCGGTAAGGTTTTCTTTTGTTGGTTTTAGAGTTGTAGATGTTTTGTGACTCTGGGGATGGAACCCAGGGCCACCTCAGAGACCCCTCCTTTGTGAATATATGTGCGTCCGTATGTGTGTGTGACGCCCCGCGTGTGCCCAGGTGCCTGCAGAGCTGGAGAGAACTGTGATCCCCTGGAGGTAGAGTTAGAGAGGGTTGTGAGGCACGTGATGTGGGTGCCGAGAACCCAACTCAGGGCCGCTTCAAGAGAGGGCAGCAGCAGGTGCTTTGTCCTGGTTGGTTTTGGTTGTCAGCTTGACACAACCAGAAGCCACCTGGGAAGAGGGAAGTCCAGTCAAAGGATCGCCCACATCGGATGAGCCTGCCGCCCTGTTTTTAAGAACTGTCTCGACTGTTCATTGATGGGGAGGGCTCAGCCCGCTGTGAACTGCTGGTGCCTGAGCGGCCTTAGGTTGTGTAAGAAAGCTGCCTGAGTACCAGCCAGTGGGTCGTACTCAGGGGATGGTGTGGCACCATTGCCACGGAGATGTGTAGACATCTCACCCCAGATCGGGAACCGGTGACAAACCAAAGTACACACAGCACCTAAGTCCATCTTGGGGAATGGATACATTCACTGGGGACACTCACAGGAGCAGAGGTGACTGGAAGACAGTGATGACCAGAGCCCATCCCAGTGTGAGCGATAGCTCGCGGTCGTACGTACAGGTGCCGGGTGGCACTTTGGCCATTTGTGCACGTCATTTACCAAAGCCACAGCTCTAGATCTCCCCAAGCCTGACTCACCTGGCCCTGGGCTTATGTAAGTTCAAAATAGCAGTTGTGAGTGTCCCCTGTCCAGTCAGGAAGTTGTTCCTGCCTCTGACTGGGCAGCTGACAGGCCTTCGTAAGCACGCAGGGCCTTGGGTCCTGCCCCCCCAGCACTCCGAGTTCTGCCTTCTGCACTGCAGGAGTGAGCCTACATGGAGCGGCAGGGGTTTTTTTGTTTTGTTTTGTTTTGTTTTTTGGCAGAGTCTGTATATAGCCCTAGATGTCCTGTAATTAGCAGTGTAGATCAGGCTGGCCTCAAACTCAAAGAGATCCACCTTCCTCTGCCTTCTGAGCACTGGGATTACAGGCGTGCATCTGGGCAGGCACACTTCTAGCCTTACTTTTCCAAGTCCTGCAGCCAAAGCATGTGACATCCTCAGCAGTCCATCTCCCCTCCAGCCCTTCAGTGTCACCAGCAGCTACGACTGCTGTGTCGGGGCCTTCCTAAGGGGTCACCTGCCCCGGCACTGGGAATTTTCACCAACTTACTGCTCTCACAAGGCCTCCTTGTTCACTCTGTCGCATACGCAGGCTCCGGCTGTCACAGAGTGTTTTCTCGGTCACCTTGTGGGCGTCAGACGTGACGTGCTGAAGCACTTAGGAAGTCCCCGGCATCTGCTCTGAGCAAGTGTCGGGTGACTGAAGATGCTTTTCACTCAGGGAGACACCGGATCAGCTCAGCTTGGGAGGCTTCTGGCCACCGCTCTCTCACCGGCTAGCTCCTCCGGGACGCTTTCATAAGGCCTCCGTCGGTTTTGCTCACCCCCAGTGAGCTGGGTGGGAGTGCCTCTAGCTGGGACCAATGGGGTGCAGCTCACCACCTCCCTGGCTGTGCCTGCACTGGCCTCCCAGGCTGGGTGGAGAGTACGCACCCAGCAGAGAAACTCGGAACCTGAGATCCTCCTGCCTCAGCCATGCCCAACCCCATCGTCATCTAAATGTGCACCTGTGTGTGAAACACACGTGCAGATGTGTGGAAGCCCAAGGTCAATCTTGGCTGTCCTTCCTCAGCCAGTGTCCATCTTCCTTTTGAGATAAGGTCTCATTGGCCTGGGGCTCACTGATGAGCCCCAGGGATCCGTCAGTGTGAGCCTTCCGAACAGCGCTAGAATGAAAAGTGTGCACCTCCATACCCACATTTCAGGGGTCAAATTCATGTCTTTGTGCTCACATGGCAGATACTTTACTTAGTCACTGTCCCTTAGAGTAGGTTTTTTTTTTTTTTTAACATTTATGTATTTGCAAGAGATAGATAGATAGATAGATAGATAGATAGATAGAGAGAGAGAGAGAGAGAGAGAGAGAGAGAGTGTGTGTGTGTGTGTGTGTGTGTGTGTGTGTGTGTGTGTATGCATGCCCACCCGCTTGTGTGTGTACATGGAGCTGAGAGG